TTGGAGGGGAGATTTGTGTGTGTGTGTGTGTGTGTGTGTGTGTGTGTGTGTGTGTGTGTGTGTGTGTGTGTGTGTGTGTACTTTAGGAACACGCACGACGTCTTCTCTTTTTTGTTTGTTGAATGTTCACCTGTGCACGTTAAAAACCTCATCTGTCACTTCTTATACGGCTTTTAATCATGAATGCTTCGTAGTGTGCAGCTTCCTTGTAAGTATTCAATAACCAACCTAATGAAAAATAGTCAATATTCACTGTTACTTCACATTCTGTCTCTTTTGATCTTTTTTGTGACAGTGACACAGTAGGACGGGGGAATTTTACCAAGATTAGCACACAACAGGATGGTTTACTCTCTAAAAATAAACTTTCTAGAAATATCGATGCACTTTTTTTGTTGTTGTAAATATCGCTACCAGCACAGATACAAACGTTTCGTTTTGTCATCTCAAATTGACGTTGTTTTACAATAGTCTTTGCTCTAACCATAGACTTGAATTATAAATATCTAAGATCGAGCATCGTCATGGTCTTCACTTTTTTTGCTCCCTAAAAAAAACTTCGCTGCGAAGTGTTTGCACCAGTAAGCGCCCAAATGAAGACCCCATGCCCAATGAAGGGCAAAACGCCATTCTCGTGATCGGGGAGTGTGTGACACCCACCCCCCCCCCCCCCCCCCCCCCCGGGGCTTCATTTATCTCCAGTATGAGTGAGTAAACAAAATAATGGTGGGCTCCAAAGTGAATCAAAATGACGTCAAAGTACAGTCTAAGATATTTAAGCACAAGCGTATGGCTCCAACTACTCTTTTTATGCAAGATATGACACTCCCCACAGACAGTATTCAACGTGTTGCAATAAGGATGTCACCCTCAGAACTTCGAGGACGCTTTTCTTTATTACAAATAATATGTCAATGAGAGTGAGAGTGGTAAAACCATCCTGTTGTATACTATCTTCGATGTATAAATCCCCAGTTCGTTCTGTGATGCTGTTTCTCTCACTTCCTCAAATTATTTTATTTCCCTCCCAACCCAGTACTCGAAGGGGTAGACAAGATTTCCCTTTTCGAAAATACCCAGATTGTATCTCGTATAACCGTGTAAATTTAATTCACTTTTGATTTTTTTTTCTCAATTTTTTTTTTCTGATGCGTACAGCTTTTGCTGCTGAGCAGTAGAATGCCAGGGAAAATGCATGACTGTCTAGGTCGATATAACCAGTCCAGAATAAAGGAAACAAACACAGTATGAAGTGTGTTTTAGCTTCTTTCTTGTGCTGTGGTCGTTACTGGTGATTTATTATTATCATTACAATTATTATTATTATTATTATTTATCATTATTTTAGTAGTAGTAGTAGTAGTAGTAGTAGTAGTAGTAGTAGTAGTAGTAGTAGTAGTTGTAGTAGTAGTTGGTTGTTTTTTTTTTTTGGGGTAGTGGTTTTTTTACGAAGTGTTTTACGGCGCTCGCAACTGCATAAGGTCATATGAGCGCGCAGAACACATACATATTTTGCAGTTGGAACGAAATTTTGAATTTTTTCCCGAGTGGCGGCCGAAACCTGCTCTTCTCGATTTTAGACCACCAAGGGATCTTTAACGTGCGCAGTTTGCACAATGGACCTCTGAGATTTTTCACCCTTGTCCCAGAAGTCTAGGTGTAGATCTTTCCTACCAGAAGATCAGGGGCGTGGCTGAAAGACAGTAGTAAGAGGGAGCCAAGTAGTAGCAGTAGAAAGGAGGAGCCCAGAGGAGAGGGCTAGGGAGGTGAGGGGGTGGGGGCAGAAAGTGGAGACGGAAGCAGACGACAGAACATTGCTAGAGAGCAGGAAAGGAGGTGAAAGGAGACAAGTTTAGAGAAGGAAGATTGTTCGGTTCTAACCGGATTCGAACCCGGGACCTTTGAATGAGAGGCGAACGCCTTAACCTCAAGGCCACGAGTAGTAGTAGTAGTAGTAGTAGTAGTAGTAGTAGTAGTAGTAGTAGTAGTAGTAGTAGTTATTTGTGTTACAGGTCTTAAGTCATCCTTGTGTTGAGTCCCCGCAAACTATGGGCTATGTATATTTCAAAAGATTTAAAAGCAGCAGCAGCAGCAGCAGCAGCAGCAACAACAGCAAAAGTAGCCCCATCATCTTCATCCTCCGCATTAACAACCTCAACAACACAAACAACAACAACAACAACCACAACAACAACAACAAAAGAGCAACAACAACAACAACAAAAACAACAACTACAACAAAAACAAAAACAACCAATAGCAACAACATCAACAACAAAAAACCCACAATAGCAACAACATCAAC